CTCATCACTCTCTCTCTCTCTCTCCATTGTTGGTTTTTTTTGTAAAAAAAAATTTTCTATTTGGCAAGATGATGTATTTGACTGAATAACAAACTTCCTATTTTTTCTTATCCCTCCCTAACTTGAACTACTGTGTTAACTTGTTATTTTTTTTTTCTAAGTCACAATCTCTCTATTTTTTCTTATCCTTCCCAACCGTGAAGATATTTACAAAAAATTGTTTGTTCTGTTCTCTAACCATTCATATCAATCTCTGTTTTTCTCTAACAATTAATCGATCCCATGTGTTTGTTTTCCAATTGTTTTGATTAACTCTAAAGTTTCAGTTTGTTCAACAAAGGTTGATTGGAGTTCAGTTGTAGAGACTGCTGAGAGCACTTTAAGAGGGATGTATCTTAGTTTGTGCAAAAGCAGGGCAAGACTTCCTTTATTGCTTTTCTCAAATTTATTGGCTTTTTATCATAAAAAAAGTTTGAATATAGCCACTTCCAATCTTCTTTGGTAAGTTAAATTATTTCTTATATTTTTCTTGATTTTTGTTAGAAAATGGGTAAAAGATGCAAGCCCATCCCATATCCATGATGCTTGCATATGCACTCTCCTTCTTTCATGGAACGTACTCGTATGAGTCTATGAGAAGTTACACGTCAACCAACACACATTCCCGGTTTCCTCTATCTTATTCTCATTTAGCATCGTCTCCTCTTCTTCTTTTTCAATCTCACTCATTTTGCATTTTTCGGTTTTAGACTTTGCACATCAGAATACAAAGAATGCTTCAGGTACAGGTGAAGTTGCTTTGTTAGTTTTTTACCCGGGTAAGTGCATTTATCCATGTTCTTTTATTTCCCAGATAAATAAGGTAATAACTATTTTAGCCGATAAGTTTTTCTTGGAAAATACTTATCCGGGTAAATGTAATTACTTGGATAAGTTTTTCTTGGGAAACACTTACCTAGGTAAGTGCATTTACCCATTCTTTTATTTCTTAGGTAAATAAGGTAATAACCATTTTAGCCATAAAAGTCCATTATTAAAAGGAGCATTTTTGTCCCATTCAAATGTTAGCAACTTTTCCTCTAGGTGGAAAAGTTATTTACCCACTTAGGAGATGGGTATCACATCTGAAAAATGAACATAGGATTCTTGGTCAATGGGAACCAAAATCCCATTGACCAGCTTTCCCCCCTCTCAAAATCCTAAAAAAGAACATCCCCTTTGTTTTTTTCTCAGTTTTCGGAACAGGTGAAGTTGAACAAACATTTTCCCATTCTTCATCTTACAAGTATCTCTCACTCACTTTGTAGCACGTTCCTCTCCTCCAATAGAGAAGAAGACTGGGTTCTAGCACATTCCCATTCTTAGTTTTTTCCTCTACTCTCCAAAAGCACACTTGCATTCTACGATTCAATTTCACCACCTCCGCTCGTATTTAGTATTTCAGCACATTCTCATTCTTTTAATTATTGCTCATTCTAGGCAAGAATGAATAACATTAGAGTGTTTGGTTACAAAATTCTTGCCTAAGGCCACATTCTTTTTAAAATGAAAATAAGCCCCATAGCACAAAAATTGACTAGCCTGAAGCATGAAAAATAATCATGCCCCGTCTTGCTCATTTCATTCTTTGAAGAAAATCTACCTATAAAATTGTTGCCATATATGTTTACTTTTGCGAAAGCACTTTTACATGAAAGCACTTTTACAAAATCGCTTTTGTGGAAGTACTTTTACAAAAGCACTTTTACGAAAGTATTTTTATAAAAACACTTTTACAGAAGTACTTTTATGAAAACACTTTTATGGAAGTACTTTTATGAAAGCACTTTTATGAAAGTACTTTTATAAAAGCACTTCTTTTATGAAAGCACTTTCATGGAAACATTTTTATGAAAGTATATTACTAAAACACTTTTACGAAAGTACTTTTATAAAAGCACTTTTATGAAAGTACTTTTATAAAAGCACTTTTATGAAAGTACTTTTATTTTTACAAAAGTACATTTATAAAAGAACTTTTACAAAAGCACTTTTCTGGAAGTACTCTTATGAAGGCACTTTTACAAAAGTACTTTTATGAAAACACTTTTATAAAAGTACTTTTATGAAAGCACTTTTACAGTACTTTTATGGAAGTGTTTTATAAAATCACTTTTACAAAAGTACTTTTATAAAATCACTTTTATGGAAGTACTTTTACGAAAGCACTTTTACGGAAGTACTTTTACAAAAGCACTTTTATGAAAGTACTTTTATGAAAGTACTTTTACGGAAGTACTTTTACGGAAGTACTTTTACAAAAGCACTTTTATGAAAGTACTTTTATGAAAGTACTTTTACGGAAGTACTTTTACGAAAGTACTTTTATGGAAGTACTTTTAGGAAAGTATAAAAGTACTTTTAGGATAGTACTTTTATAAAAGCTCTTTTACAAAAACATTTTTGTAAAAGCATTTTTACAAAAGTACTTTTATAAAAGCACTTTTGTGAAAGTACTTTTACAAAACATCTATGCCAATTGGTAAACATTGACTATTGGAGACCTAGGATAGTAGTTTGTAAATACTGGCACAATTTCTTTTTTTTTTTGAAGAATAAAAATGAGCAACATAGTCTCAAAAGAATTCATTTTTAGGAAAAAAGTGTTTGGTTCATTGCAATATTTTCTCATTTTGCCTATTTTTATCCATTCTTTTCCATTTTAAAATTTCATAATGGGTAAGAATGAGAAAGAATGAGAGTTGAACCAAACATGGCTTTAGTTGCTAATCTTTGAATTGGAATTGGTGAAAAAGAATGGCAACTTTTGAGTTGGAGGGAATTGTCGTAGATGGGATTATAGTTATGGAGATTTTGGATTCAGGGATGGATAGATGGATTGTTGAGAGAGAAGAAAATCAACTTAACTAGCGATTGTCTGGTGAATGATGCAAAGAGAGTGGTGGGACATTGCTATCAACTTTGTGTTAATATAATATTTTTAACAATATAAATCTATATGTTTTAAAAATGACTCAAAAACAAAACCATTATTTATCAAAATGATGGATAAGCAATTCAACCATCCGAATCAAATTGATAAACTTATGAAGTCATAGTTAGGTAATAAACTTTTAAAATAGAAATAAATATAGAATATTACATAAGTGTAGAAAAAAATAGACAGATTTATGATATTTTTATTAATCAAATTAAAAATAAGTGTATAAAACAAGAAAATATTGTTATTGATAGTGAAAATGAAATATAAAAAATTAGTAATAAATGGTTCAACTTTTGTGTTAAATGTGTTAACCTTTAAAATCATAAATAAATACATAATAACATTAATAAAATATAAAAATAAATAAATTTTACAAAAAAAAGAGCACCCGGAAACATGTATAATATCATATATTTATCATATCAAACAAAAAATAAGTGTGACATATCAAAATTACTTTTACACTCAAAAGAACAAAAAAAAACTATAGAAAAAACTGAACACATCTATAATTCTATATCTTTGTTACTATTAAAAATATGAATAAAATTGTAAAACTTTCTTTTAACTAAAATACCCATTTTTGAGTTTAGTCACTCTATTTAATTCTTATATATATATATATATATATATATATATATATATATATATATATATATAAACTAAAGAAAAAAAAGATAAACATTACAAAAAGAAGAGTCTAGCCAAGTAGGTAGGCCTGTCAATAATATTTCAAACTTCACAACTCAATTTGATAATCACATATTTAGATGAGATGTTTATGTAATTAGATTTGGATTTTTCAATATGCATCTAATTAATAATAAAAAACAAAAAAATACATAAAATTTATAAATAATTTTGAATATATCATTTCTACCATCATCATCATCATCACGTTCATACTTACTAATCCCTTAAAAGGTGATTCACTTTATATAAGTGAATTTCATTATTTATTCATCAATTAAATAACAAACGATCTCCTTTAATCACGAAGACTGTAGGGCTTGTGTATTCCCATTAGACTCATGAGAAGGTTCGCATAACCATCGGTTGAGACGCTCGGATGCCTTTTTCACCTATAAGTTTGCAACATATACCAGTCATCTAAAAGAACCAATGGGAATTTAAACATAAATACACTAAAGATATTGAAAATGATGAAAATTGATAACGACTCAAATGTAAACCTATGTTGGGAATGAAAAGACATAATCCAACTTGGTGAAGCAAATATCTCATCTATATATCTATATACTTAAAATGCAGTTGTCCATGTCAGTTTATTCTCTATCCTCTTATTGCTCCCAAGTCCTCTTAGAAATTTGCGGTTTTTTCTTATGAAACTGTAAAAAAAAAAAAAAATCATATATGGGACCATTTAAACTCACCCACAACCTATTTTTTTGAAGCAGCCCTTAGGCTAAATTCATGGCAACAAGTCATCTTCTGGTATAGGAATAAGAAAATCAGGAGGCAAGGACCAAGTAGTGATCCTACTAATATGACAAGCAAATTTTGCAATTTCATGGGCAACCTTATTTCCTGAACGAGGGGTGAAGGAGATTAAAACACTTTGGAAATCTTGCAGTAAATTTCTACAATCAGCAGTAAATTGTGTGAAGTTGCCAAGGGCCGTTTAGAGAGGCATCTAACAGGATATTTGTTATCTTCTGTGCATCTCCTTCAATATGAATATGAATGAGGTGGAGATTCTTCGCCATTTGGAGTCCAGTTCTTAAAGCTCACGCCTCAGTAACTCACCCACAACCAATTCAGTTTCCTTTTTATGGGAAACTGAATGTAATCACTCTCATATAGAACATCAACATCTTTTACAACAGTTAGATGCATGGTTGTTTGGTGAATTTAAATAGCCTTATGTTCATTTTTTTTTAATTTAGAAAAAATTTCAAGAGGGTTGGAAAGCATATGAGGAGGAGAGAGTATAAGCTGACATGAACAATTGCATTTTAATTTTAGTAGACTTTCCTTAAATTAGTGACAAATTCCTTTTCTTATTCATACTATTCCCATGGCCATGTTTGGGACTTTGGGAGTGCTTAAAAATAAATGCATATTTGGGCCGAGATCACACCATTAAGCACTTATTGGTGTTTGGGAAAAAGCCCGCAATAAGTTATTATTTTAAAAATAAGGACTAATTTTTTAAGCCCAAATTTGCAGTTTTTTTTTTAAGTGCTTATACAATAAGCACTTATTCAATTTTTTTCTTCCAAAATTATCCCTAGTTGAATTTTAAAATACCACTTATAAAACTATCCCTAGCTGAATTTTATAAAAGTACTTTCGTAAAAGTGTTTTTATTGAAGTGCTTTTATAAAAGTACTTTTGTAAAAGTGTTTTTATAAAAGTATTTTTGTAAAAGTGCTTTCGTGAAAGTACTTTTATAAAAATGCTTTCATAAAAGTATTTTCATAAAAATACTTTTACAAAAGTACTTTTATAAAAATGCTTTTATAAAATTTGAAAAAAAAATGAAGAACAAAATAGTCACAAATGCTTATTAGAGAAAAATACTACCAAACACCTAATATAAAATAAATAATTATTTTAAAAAATAAACACTTGAAAAAGTTGGAAGCCAAATATAAATAAGTACTTATGCAAATATACGCTTATTTTTAAGTACTTATTCAATAAACATTTACTTTTAACATAAGTATTCCCATACATGACCTAAATGTTGAAATATTTTGTTTACTTACCTGATCATCCCAGTTAGTTTTCCAGGTGATATAGATAAGCGCAAGTGTTTGTACTCCTATTCCGCATACCATTCCAATCCAGATACCCTGAGTAAATAAGCCAATAAATTAATAGTCTGTTCAAACTGTAAAAACTCTTATTTAACCACGACGCGGAATGAGTTTTCGGTCACTGGACTATTTGGTGCGGTCCAAGTCTAACAACGGTACCGATCGATAAGTTGACATCACACTGCAGTCATAATTTCATATTACTGTTATTTGGCAATCGAATTGTAAATGGTTTAGAGTCCATTCGGTTTGCGATGGGATTCAGAATGGGAATGGGAATGGTCTATTCCCATAATTTATTTGGTATTTGGTCTAAACTTGAATTTAAATGGGAATTAGAATCAGTTAGAATAGGATTTTGTTTTTAAGAAAGGGGAAGGAAATGACTGTTCTTTCAAATGGGATTTCAATTCCATTCAACCAAACAGTTGAAATTAGAATGGACAATTCCGATTCCGATTCCAAACCTCCAAACCCCTATTCCCATGAATCAAATAGGACCTTAATTCTTACCTCAACTTTGAGACCAGCAATATAAGCCAGCAAAATCCCAAGAGGGATCCCAACAAAATAGTAGCAGATGATGTTGACATATGCTACCATGGCTTGACGACCTGCACCCACAGCCACTCCTGTACACAGAAAGAAGTAGATATTTCAGTTTTGTGTCGTTCATCATCTCATCAATCATCGTTATCATCCAAACCTTGTTCCGACTATATGGAGTCGGCCATATATGAGTCCTGTTTTCGTATTAAATTATGAGTGCTTAAATTATTTTTTATTATTTCAACCCAAGTCCCCTTTTTAATCTACCATAGTCTTTGTAACCCTTCAAAATAGGAAATAAAGAAAATGAGATGCTTGCCTGATAATATTGGTTGAACGCTGTTGAGCAAGATAGAGAAAGCCAAAAGGGGGGAAAGGCTTGACACGGCTTTCGCAACCTCCACACTACTTGTAAATGCGTAGGATAAGATATGACCAAGGGCCAAAGCGAGAATCCAGAATATAGTACCAATGGACAATGAAGTAATTACACTGTTTTTGACAGCGAACTTTACCGCTTCTGAGTCTCCTCTACCCAACTCATTTGCAACGCGTACACTGCAATAGAATGGACAAATAGATGTAATAATGCAATTCATTTGCACTGATACAAATGCATGGGAGAACAAATAAGGATAATGTAAGGGCCTCTTTGGTTTATAATTGAAATCGGAATCAAAATTCAATGGAATCAGAATCAAAATGGTCTTCAGATGGGAATTGAAATTGGAATTTGAATCACCTAAAATGAATTCTTATTCTTGATGAGAGGGGGGGGGGGGGAACAATTGATCGAACCGTTTTTGCCTCCAGGTCACTGGTCATTTGTTCGACTATCCAGGTCGGACGGTTCAGACCGTGCTACATCAGTAATACATAAATCATATATATATATATATATATATATGTATGTATGTATTTATAAACATGTATTTTATTAATAAATAATACATAATTATATTATACATGTAATATATATATTATTTTATATTTAATTTATATTTTTTAGTTCTGTTTTTAATTTTTAATTTGTAAAAAATTAAAATTGTAATTTGAGACCAAAAAAAGGGTTGTCTTTTTGACAAAAATAGCAGGACAAGGCGCCTACGTCCCTTGGGACACATAAATGTCAAAAAGCTACCCAAAATATATATAAAAAAAACACCTCAATTGAACATTGGAGTGCAAAATTATGGCCTCTCAAAGTTTGCATACACATTTAACGTGCAATCCGTGACTGAGCTACCAGGTCCAATCGTTGGATCAGACGATTTTTAACCATCTACTAGATTTTACTAAAACCGGACCCAAAATCTTGACCAGATAATGGTTCGAGCGGTTCAATTGATTGAGTCAACAGTGGGTTAAAAGCATTGGGAGGGAATGGTCATTCCCTCAAATGAGAGGATGCCATTCCACCAAAAATGGAAATGAAATTCCGATTCTGGCCAATCAAACAGTTGAAATTGGAATGAACCATTTATATTAGACCTCTATTCCCAAGAACCACACAGACCCTAAATTCTGGTCGACTTTCAACTTCGATTTTACTTTATTCTGCTATATAATTTATACTACTTTAAACAAAATAGGGTAAGAGCTGAAACAAAATAAATAAGGAATTTGAATCAAATCATTTGCATTCCCTAACTTTTTGCACCAGTAACAATGAAATTGCGTTGCAAAGAAACAGGCCATAGTAATTTTGGGAAAAAAAAAGAACATTTGGCTTTGAGACACAAGCGAAATCCATGATCCATACCTAGTTCCCGCATAGAAACCATAGGACATCATAAGCTCCCAAGTACTGATGTTCAAGCTACAAGTCAAGTCATTAAGTCAAGTTTTTAGTAATTAAGCAAATGAAGGAGAAGAAGAAAGATTCTTAGCAAATAGAGTAATCTTACCAAATCGAGAAAGCAGATATTTCAACTTCAGCATTTTTCATGTAACCAGCCACCAAGACAAGCACTCCGGTGTACCATATCTCTACGCTAGTTTAAGAGAAGAAATTTTAAGATTGTTAAGTTACCAAGTGAACAGTTAATTGTCACATCCATTTAAATACAAAAGACATTGTCATAAATAAGATTTGAACACTCCCTTATTTTTAACTCCAACTGTGGATGGATAGATAGCCACCTAAGAGCAGTGAACACCATCGGTTTTTTAACCTCAAAATTTATTCTAAATGGAGAGACGGTCCTTATAATCTTATCAATGAACTCCATACGATATATAATCTTAGACCCGGAACCGGAACTGAATTGATTGATTCGACAATCGGGTATGACCTGATGGATCCAATTATAATGAATTATACATTTAATTGGAACAGTAGATTAGAAACTACAACGAGCCCACTGATACCGATCCTGAAACCAAAACCAGCTCAATCAATTTAGGTCCATCGAGTCAGAGCCCGATCCATTGAACTACCACAGCATTTAGAAACTGGATAGATTACTTTATTCTTGCAACGAGGTAGAAGACTTTGCAAGGAATGCTGTTGCTCTTACTGTTTAAAATGTCCACCATGTTAATGTATGTATGGGTTGGGTCAGTCCCGTTATCTTGGCCCATGGGTGCTTTGACAAGTGGGCCTTTTCTCTATTTTATTATAGGGGAATTGTCAGATTGTCCAATATAGATATTCTTTAGCGCAAGGTGCCAACCTGGTTGGTAAGGTCTCCTGCTGACTTGGGATTAAATCCCACCTGCACATGGGTTGGAGGGGTTTATGAGTTTGGGGGATGGGCTATCCATAGGGGTGTCAATGGTATTCGAAAATTCGATTTTAAATTTGAGATTTGGTATAACCGAATCGAATTTGAATATTTAATTGGTTGAATTCGTATATCTTATTCATATCGATTAACTAATTGGATTCGAATTCGGACATGACCTGATTTGATTCAATAAATATCTGAAGTTCATTGATTATTTAATTCTTATATATAATATATAAGATATTTAAATGTTTTATATAATATATAATAATTAAATTATATGAATAATTTATATACTTTATATAAATAAATATTTATTCTATATATTTATTAATTACCTAAAATAATTAATTGGTTGAATTCGAATTGAATTGAATATTCAAATATTTAATCGAATTCGATATTAATTTTTAATATCTATCGGATATCAAATTTTCTAATCGGATTCGAATTCGGGTATTGCCTGATTTGATTTGAATTCAATCCGTTAACACCCTTGCTACCCCAATGTGTAGTCCCTTGGAGCAAAATAAATAAATAAATAAAACATATATACATTCTTCAACAATTAGTAGGATCATGGATTTTGAAAAAATCAACAACACATTAAGGTCCACAATCCAAGAATTAATACGTGCACCTATAGTGTTTGGTCCACATCTCTCCATGAATGACAAGGGAGATGTTCCCAATGTATGGCTGCACTGGATTGACTTAATGGGAGAATGTTAGGAGTGTTTTGTTGGTAGATCCCTACCAACCAAATAAATTCCTTTCATTTTTATAGCACCACCCACATTTATATTTTATAGATTTATGAAGGAATCTCCACATGATCACCTACCAACAAAACATGTTCCAACACCCTCCCAACATGAGCTGACACCACACACCTCACCTTGAGATTGGGACCCATCATAAAAGTGAAACCTGCCATGAATGAGATGTACAGTGTTGGATCATGTTGTGAGGGTGTTGGAACGTATTTTGTTGGCAGGTGATCTAGACTCCTTTGAAGGCAAACCTGACCATGTGAATTTAAACCAGGGGACGTTTTCAACTCTCCTTCTGACCATGTCCCAAGCTACACTGTGTAGCCCATTTGCATTACTTTTTCAAATGAGCCATCTTCACGATCAGTTAAGCATTAGGAAAAATCCTTAAACCATGTCTTTAATAACATCATTAATCTTAAAATGCTTGGAAACACTCTCACTATCTAGAACACCACCTTTAACCCAAAAGTTTAACATATTAAGGTTGTGGGCCTATCTTTATATATAAATCCCTTGTAAATTTTTTCTCATTTATCCCTTTCCAAAGTGGAATGCATCCATTTGCACCTATGCGTTCCAACATATTGATACCCCATAATAAAAAATTTCCTTCTAATCATATTAGACCTTACCAACATAGTCTTGTTTAAGCAACTTGGTCCAACCAATTTGGTCCAACCAAAATTTGACCTTAATCAGATCATGTCTGGACAAAAGAGAAAAAAAAAAGAAAAGAAAAGAAAAGAAAGAAAAATCTACTGTGATCATGAAGGTGGATGCATGAACTACAAGGTTGCATGGTATAGCATTTATGATGTTTTGTTTTATGTAGTTATAAGTTCTGATCAAGGGAGGACTAGCTAGAGATAAAACTTACCAGAGCATCACACCAGATGAAAAAGAGAGTTTGGCAACTGGCCAAAGTTCAGAAAATGCATGTTTAGAGAATCCCTTCCATGTTTGGGGGCACCAACCACCAAAAATATAGACTAATTCTCCAATAACCAGAAACCAAGAAGAGATGATCAAGGCAACCATGGCTCCAAGCACCCCCAAGTTCAGTTTGTCCACAAAAATCCAGGACACGATCAAGTGAATTACAAATGATGCAGTAGATAGGCATCCAATTATACTGTTCCTGAATTGGGCTTGTAAATACTTTTGTATTGACATGGTAAAGAGGTAATAGTACATGATAGGAAGGAACCATAGAGCAAATTTGCCTGCTTCTTGTGACAACTTTTCCTCTTGACGTAGAAGTCTCATAATAGGAGTTGTGAAGACGAAAATAGGGCACAAAATGAGTGTGGTGATAAACATAATAATCCATGACCGCTGTAAGTAGATACCCATCATGTGGTAATGCTTTGCTCCAAATGCTTGACCACATAAAGTTTCAAGGGCACTTGACATTCCAAACTGTGTAATGGAAATAGAACCAAACCAACGATCAAGAAAGAGATAGTTTGCAATGTAATTTTATTTGTACTAGTACAAATGAGAACAATAGAAGTTCTGATTGGCTGCAAACAAAGCCAGTTGAAGAGCAAAAACAAAAGGAATGTGATGGAAATTAAAGAAAGCATACCAGAAATCCAGTTACTAATCGTATAAGAGTAGTTTGGACCACTGCATATGAAGCAAGTTCGGTTTGACCAATATGTCCCATAAATGATTGTGTCACCACCAAAATTCCATAAGATGTTACTCTTGTTACCATAGCAGGAAATGCAACCCTCCAGAACTTCTTCGATTCTATCCAAATCCTTTCTTTCAAACTCCCTCTATCTTCCTTTTCTACTTCGGGAAGCCTTTCTCCAGTCCTACTCTCCATATTTTTATATGGTCTTTCTTAAGCTCCTGAAACATCAAGGAATTGATTTTAAACAAAATAGATACGCAGTAAGTGTTAGAAACCATCCGGTGGAAGCTCCATTCTTAGAAATTAAGGGGATTTGTTTCGTTGCATAACTGTAAAATGATCTCTATATCTATATGAATACTCATAAGAAGTGATTTGTTAGAAGTTGAAGGGACTAGAAGAGCCGGGGGCACATCAAAAAAGATTTCAGTGGAAATGATAAGAAATTATTTAAGTACCTGACCCATATGGTTTTAAATAGAATGGATTGACAAAATAGGATTGACCGCATATAGTTGGAATAAGACATGGTTGATGTTAATGATGATAAATTTGATGATAGATATGAGTATGACATTAAATAGAATGGAATGACGAAGTGAGATTCATGTAGCCAACCTCATATATAGCTGGGACATGGCTTACATGATGATGATGGTGTCCTTGAAGGCTTAGCTAAGGTTCTTTAGAGTTGTTTTATTCTTAAAGGTAGCTAGATGTGGGTTTTACTTCATCTATTTTCATTAATTTTGTCATTTAAAGCACAATAAGGCATTTAGCTAGGATTAAAATTGAAAAAATTTTAAGCACAACACCTATTTGTTTGTTTGACACAGTATACGGTATACCCCTATTATTTGAAAAATTGAAAGACACTTAGACCCCTCAACTTTGTTTTGTAATAAAAACCCCCTGAACTTTTAGATTCCATCACTTTGCCACCACTGTTAGTAATCTGTCTCTAAACCTTAGAGAAGATTCTCACGTGACTATCATGTGCTTGTTTAAATGTTTTTAAATCCCTGAACTACTCTCTTATTCCGCTCAGCAGAATTGATCTTGAGAACGAGTGGAATGGCTCATCAAGGCCTTGGGAGAGCTCATTAATGGACTTCAAATAATGTCAAATTCATGCCGACGCTGCCATGATTTGGGATGTTCAGGGTTCAATTTGGTTCAGTACAGATGGGGCCTAGATGGGGACTGTAGCGAAAATTGGTGTCTTCACTCGTGATAGGTAGCCCGGCCCAGTGTGCATGATTTGTTTCCAGCTCATCCAAACTGCTCTCAGTCCCAACCCCACCGTTCTCCCAACAAGTTGAAACCATGTAAATGACAAACAACCCTTCAATTAAGTAGCTTGAGTGGTAAAGAAATTTCATAGAACCCAGAACAAACCACTGATCTTGAAGTAGGAACCTAGCTATTTAAAGAACAAACCGAATATATATATATATATACTGGTCGGTTCAGTTAATCACCATTTTTTTATATTGGTTAACCGAAACCATATCGATACCTTCGGTTTTCTTAAAAGATCGAACTGAAACCAAACTGACTGGTTTGATTAATCGATTTTTTGATTTTTTTTTGCTCACCCTTATGGGGCAGTACTTGGCTTCTACCACATTGGAGGACATGGCTCCTACCCCCTCTTGATTTTTGATCTAAACCCTAAATTGTTAAATCCTAAACCCAAACCTAAATTCTTAAAACCTAAACCCTAAAATCTAAGCTCTTAACCCTAAACCCCTAAATTCTGAAATCAGCGTGTAAAATGACTATGGTAAGACGATGTCTTCAACATGGTAAGAGCCCTTCAAATTTGTGTTTTTTATTTTAATGTAAAAAACGAAGATCAAATATGGGGCTATTTAAATTCACCCCCAACTAAGGTTGTGTTACGTAAACTTAATTTTGGTGTTTTTTCTATAAATGTCAACATCCAATCCAATGTCGAGATTTTTTTGTATCCACAAATTCTCAAAAATTTGTATTGACCAAACCTTACAAGTAGAAGAGACAATGGTACCAAACACAACCCAATTCAGTTTCCTTTCTACTTGGATACTGAATATAATCACTTCTCTATAAAATATGTGCATCTTTTAACACCAGCCTGTGCATCTCATGGCTCTCTTCTGGTTATATCTAAAAGTTATTTCAGATCCATCCTAATTGGCTAAATCTGGAAAGGTCTGTTTGGGAAGGCCAAGCGGAAGATTCAGCTAGGCAGGTTAGGCTGCTTTAAAACAATCTAGATGAGTTATTCAAAAAAGATTGAAGTGGATAACCCTTCAAATGACTGACTGATAGCCAATTTAGGCTTTCCAAATTTTTCACCAAACTATAAACTGCTGTGCTTCGCACCTAATCTTCACCTTGGTTAGAATCTCTGTACACCTGATTATATGTTGCTTCCAGTTCCTCATCGTGACTATTCTTATACAGTCTTGGATTAGGCTCATGATACTCCATGGAAGGTTGTACTTCCAAAGGCTGTCCATAACAAGCTCTGAATCTCCCTCAATTATTTCAACCATAACTGACTTGCACATCCAATAGAATTAGCTTTAAAGCCACTAGGTTCCCACAATGATCCCTGGCTAGCCTACCTATTCCTGCCAAACCATCACCCCTCTGTGATACATCTAAGTTATAGATGTCAATGGGTTTGGTCTATCAGAAAGAACTACACCAATATAGCATTCTTGTTGCAAGTTTTGTGTCCAAATTATGATTATTGTGTTGGGACTGGTTTTTATTGTTCCAAACCATCTAACACATGAATCAATTATGTACTTAATAATATAAAAGATTAAAAATATTTATTTTATGAACATATAAATAGATTTACTATTTGTTGTCTTTTTATTATGGTTGTATTATTAGAAATGGAATTTGGGTCATTTACTAAAACACTTCTTATAGTTGTATGGATTTATCAAAACCTATCCCATGTTTTATTAAAACACCCCTATACAACTTTTTATTACATGGAAGTGGAAAATGACAGTTTTTACCCTCAAATCAGTTGAAAAAAAATCATCCTTGTCCCTAACAAAATGTGGGCAAGCACTTTGTTTACAAGGAAGTGGAAAATGACAGTTTTTACCCTCAAATCAGTTGAAAAAAAAAAATCATCCTTGTCCCTAACAAAATGTGGGCAAGCACTTTGTTTGGTCAATTTTGTTCTCCGTTTGAAGAAGTGATAGGGATAATTTTAGAATTAAAAACCATGGGCCCATAACGACTCTTAATGAAAGGTTGATTAAGTAAACCAGTTGCAAGTTATAGAGAGTTTTTTAATAAAACATAAACTATATATATTATATATACATTTTTTATTTTTTTCTTTATAATTTCTTTCTCTCTCTCTCTCTCTCTCTATCTATCTATATTCAGCCACTTCAGCAATAGTAACGCATGGGCTAAATTTTGGACTCGGGCCCAGGCCTGGGCTTTGGGCTTTTTATAAGGGCCGGGCTCGGGCCCAAGTTGTAGGCCCGATGGTCAGGCCGGGCCGGGCTCGGGCTCGGGCTCAAGCCTTAAAAAAATTTGTTAATAGTGAAAGCCCGACCCGACCCGGCCCATGAATAGGTCTACTTCCAAATAAATGATCCTCTTACCTCCATTCTCTTTCATAAAAGGTAGGGACTACATCATTTTCTTCCTATTTTATTTCTCACACAAATAAAATATCAAACCTAAAGCAAAACTAAAATTCTTTTATCCTTTATTTTCTTTTAAAATTTCAAAATATACCCTGAAATTTCTAAACTCATCTTTGCTTCAGGTTGATGGATTGATGGTGAATATATCAAAATGTACCCAAAAATTTGAAAATAGAAGATGAATTGATGCACACCAGTTTTTGCTTCAGGTTTTATTTTACTTCATCTTCAATGTAAATAAACAAAATAAGGGGAGAATTGAAACAAAAATACATCCAAATTTGCACTTTCATAAGCAGCAGTGCAAATGAATTGCCTTGTACAAAAACTGGGCATTAATGTATATACCGAATTGTATATACAGCAAAGAACAGAAGAAACTAAGGATAGAGGGAGAGAAAGAGAAGAAAATAATAATAATAATAATAATAATAATAATAATAATAATAATAATAATAATAATAATAATAATAATAATAATAATCAAATTAAAATTAGACCATCCCGTTTTCCAGAGTTTGAGTTATACTGATCACTCACCAACGTAGCCTTTTTGCTTATGAAGAAAGTCTCCCTTCAATTCGAGAATTCCAAAGAACAGAAGAAACTAAATTGACTAGCCTTGCAATAGTCCCCGACCCTTCACTTGGAGAATTCTTTTAGAATACGAGAGAGAGATGTAAGTTTAATATGCATACCAGTTGGCTAGCTTGAGAGAAAAGAAGAGAATAGTTGACTAGGTCAGCTAGAACGTTGGTTGAAACATGATACCATTAACTTATGAGCGTTAGTTGGGCTCGGAGATGTTTAAATTTTATTAAATTTTACTAATTTTAATGTTTTCATATAAAATTTAAATGGATTTTAAACTAATAAAAATGTTTTTAACATTGATAAAGTTTTATTGATTTATAAATAAATTAAATTATATTTTTATTAATTAGTGTTACATAAATTTGTTTTAGCCATTTATTTTATTTTATTATTTTTAAATGAAACTTAAATTAATAAAATAAATTATAAGAAGAAACACCCGATATTTCTCCGTTAAAAACCGGAGAAATAAATGGGAAATCTGGCTAAAGATACTGTGAGAAGCAAAAGGACAGACCGACGTACTGTTATTGATATTGTCTTATTGGGCCACAACATGTCTTTAATGCTTTAGCCGTACGTACTGTGTACTGTCGTACCATCTAGCAAAAGTCAATTCTGTATTTAAGATTCAATTTGGAAAGAGTACAGCCCCACCAGCCCTCTCACCCTATGGACCACATCCTGTTCGTGAATTTGGCATCAATTCACGGTCAAATGCATTCCCCCTGTATTTTGGGCTAGTAAATTCTGATCCGGCTGATTGGTATTTTTCTCTATTTTGTATGCATTTATATTGTATATATTTATATTTTATTCTTTCCAAATTGAGGTTGAGGTTGTATTTGGTTGAAATACAAATTTATTTATACTGATGCAAAATTATGTTAGTGCAAATTTTAATTTATTTTTTTTTTGAATTTT